AGTATGGTGTAGAAAATAAAATTTTCCATTATTTATATCGCAAGCCCCTTTATGAGGAACTCTGTGACCTCAGAGACCCCATCTATTATTTTGAATTATTATTATTGATATGCGAAGGGAGGCCTGCCAGACAGCTTATGTCTCAGAAATCTCTGCTTCATCTGAGGATCTTGACTGCCTTGAAATGATGAGAAAGCATGACATGGAGAACGAGTATCTGATCTGACAATCTGATCCTATGTTAGCTCTGTCACAAAGAACTTGGACCTGTCATGAAGACTCAGGAGCCAATTTGAAGAGGCTCTCAATGAGCATAGATCCATCAATTTGAAATTTAATAATAATAACTGCCATGGATTAAAACAAAGCAAACGTGCTCAAATGTATGAGTTACTAATAATATTAAAAAGCAAGGCAAATCAAACAAATAAAAAACTCTCTGGTCACTTTTGTAGGGTACTAGAAAATCAATAATTATTTAGAAAACTGGCAAAAAAAGAGGAAAGAGTAGAGCATTATCCTTCCTTCCCTATGCCACAGGGTAATTAAATAGTTGATAGGGGATAGTTCTTTTTTTTAGATGTTTTCCAATGAATAAAGATGCAATGCTAAAATACTACCATTTTGCAAACTCTAAAAGATGGATGGATCTGGTCAATAATCTTCAATGACTGCTTAGAAGATAGTAATAATAATCCAACAAAAGAGAGAGAGAGACGGACAGAGGGAGAGAACTTGAAGTATGTAATACCACCTATAAAACAGTCTTGCAAAAAAACAAAACCAAAACATAGTATCAGATCTCTAGACATAACTATCAGTTTAAAAGATGTGGAGGCAATGGAGAAACAGTAAATGATGCAGTCTGCAAAATTCAGAATTCAGGAGACATTTTGGATAAACCTAGTTTCTTTTCTTCAACAACAACAAAAAAATCAAGGGGCAAAAAAGTGATTCAGGGGAAAGAGACTTGGGAGACATTTCAACCATCTGAAATGTATGGCCCTTGGATCTGGGTTAAAAAAACAAAAAACAAAAAAAAAACCAGAAGAATGAATGAAAAAAATAAAATAAAGACTTGGTGGCATGTTAATGACCAGTGGATATCTTAAGATCAAGTAATTATTGTTAATTTTTCAACTATCAGAATGACATTGTAGCGTTCTTTAAAAAAAATAAACATACATACTGAAATATGTACAGATAAAATTATAAGATTACGATGTCCGAGATTGGGCCAACTGATGGCATGGAGGTTAAGGCAGCTGGATCCCTTGAGGCTGACTGTATAATTCAAGTCTCAGACCGGGAGACTTGAGAATTAATTTGGGTACACAAGCACATGTACATGTACCCAAAGTCCGGAGAGGAGATGAGATTGTGGCATGGCTATCCCCCCAGGAGATGATTTTCCCTCTCTGTCTCTCGCTCACTTTCTCTATCTCTTTCTCTAGGTGAGTGCATGTGCTCTATCTAAATTAAACTAAACTAAAAAAAAAAGTCAGAGATTTACATAAAGATAATCCAGTTTGAGCAAACGGAATGGGTAGAAGTGCGGTGAAACAAAACAGGCCTTTCTGATAACAGTAAGATGGATAAATCAGGTTCATTGCATATTTTTTCTAATTTTGTACAATGTAACTTAAATTTTAAAGGTCACTGGCTGTATACAAAAGGACTAGAAGAGTGAAGAGGAGACCTCTTAAGGCTACTGAAGTAACGGGCACTAGAGGGCGCTACCAGTGGCTGTGAGGAATGGCTGGGCTCTTGGCTGTATTTTGAAAGCAGAGCCACAGGACTGTGATGGGCAGTATGTGATGTGATGACATACACTCATTCTCTTTGGTTAGATTTTAAAAATCATTATAGGTCTAAACTACATAATGTTTGATCTTGCTCAAAAGTTTTAAAATGAGCTCATTTTTTATTTCTGGAAAAAAGTTCTTTCTTGAGGGGTGTTTGGACACAGAATTAATAAAAATATACTAAGAAAACAACAGTTCAAAGGTATTATTATTTCAAAAAAGTTAAATAAATTATTTAGGGATCTATGATTCAGAAAATAAAGGTTCACAATTTCATCTGAAATCTTTGGTGCCCTATGTTCCAGAATTTAGAACTTTTAAGATTTTAGAAAGGTAACAGATTATTTAGCCTAGTATATACTTCCCAGAAAGGTCTGAGACAGATTTCTTTATAAAATTTATTACTATTTCTACAGTGAAACATATAAATACACTGAATGGAATGAAGTTAATAAATAGTCTTACATTAGAAGAACTTGGGTGCAATGGCAAATGAGTTTTAGAGGCAAACATATGAATAGGATTTTTTTGGTTTTTAGCATTTTGATATTACAGACAAGGAATTTCCACTCAGGTTGACAAACCTTTACTGATTACCTACTATGTGTTCGTGAAGACCTTATTACACATGAGGAATTAAACCAGCAAACCAATAACTTTAACACAAGGTAAAATATTCCTGGCAACAAGAACAAGAGAAATCCATGAAGACTGTTGGAGTGGGCTGTGTTCCGGGAACAAATAACTAAGATGAATTTGTTCTGTTTGATAGAACATAAGATTACATATTCTAATAAAGTAGGCAGCTGAAGTTTGAAAGGTTGTGTTTAGTAATGCTCCTTTTATCCTGATCAGCATGCTACTTTTTTATAAGCGTGTGTGTGTGAATATGTAATGTTTCAAGGGCTAGATCGTTGGTGAGACTTCACAGAATTTAAGTAGCTGTGGGTACTAAGTAGCTTTTTTGAATCATTATTGCAGCGTGGATGACTAAGAACATCTCGGTGGGTTTGGGCCAGGCCATTCAGCAG